TGATGTTGCTGGTACAGCAGGGCTTGTACACATGTGAGAAGACTGGGTATTATTGAACTTATTTGAAAATCAAAAGACTACAAAAACAATTTCCCCAACTCAATCTGTGAGACCAGAAAAACTCCAACACAAAAATCCCAACAGGGGCAATATGAGGTTAGAAAATCATAGGCCAGCATTACACATATCTAAAACTCCTAAACAAAATATTAGTAAATGGAATCCAATGGTATAGAAACAAGAAAATACATAATGACCAAATCAGTTACTAATGCTATTCACCACAGTAACAGATTAAATTATATGAACAGAAAAACATTTGATAAAATAATTCATCGATCCCTTGTTAAAAATAAAAACACTTTGAAAAATAAGATGAGAGGAGAATTCTTTAATCTCAAAGGAATATTCTCCTAATAGCTATAGGTAAACTATATTCAAGGTGCATTCCTCTTAAAATCAAGAACAAAACAAAGATTTGTAGATATCACTGTGGTACCTAGAATCCTAGTCAGTGAGGTAGGACAAGTAAAAGCAATGAAATTTTGGGCTAGGGATGTAGTTCCGTGGTAGAGCACCTGTCTAACTTGCATATGGATCTAGGTTTGGTTCCCCTTTGCAAACAAAGCAAAACAAAACAACTAAATAGAAATAAAATTTTAAATTATTTGAATGGAAGAAATAATTTATTCATAACCAATAACATTACTTATATAGAAAGCACAAATGTATCCTCAGATAACTTCTTAGAATAAGGAAGATAGTTTGGTAAGTTTGCTGGGTCAATACTCAAATTATGTTTCTATACACTAACAATAAAGAGTTGTAAGTATTAAGTATAAAAATAATAAATATAAGAAATTCAGGAACGGGCTGGGATGTGGCTCAAGCGGTAGCGCGCTCGCCTAGCATGCGTGCGGCCCGGGTTGCATGCGTGCGGCCCGGGTTCGATCCTCAGCAGCACCACATACCAACAAAGATGTTGTGTCCGCCGAGAACTAAGAAAAAATAAATAAATGTTAAAATTCTCTCTCTCTCTCTGTCCCCCTCTCTCACTCTCTCTTTAAAAAAAAAAAAAAAAAAAAAGAAATTCAGGAACTAACCTAATGAAAGACTGCTATTCAGAAAAACATAAACCGTATTAGAAGATATTAAAGGTTTAAGTAAAAACTTAAATAGCATGCCCATGGATTGGAATTCTTGGTACTATGATTATTTCAGCCTCTCCACATGGACCTAGAGATTTAACACAAGTTCAATAAGAATCTTAACAGAGGTTTTCGCGAAACTTGATAATTATCTCCGAGATGCACCTGGAGAACAAAAGGCCACAGATCGTCATGGCTCTGACAGAGAAAATCATATTTTTAGTATGGTTATGGCCCCAGTGATAGACCCAACAGGACAAAATAGACAGCCCGGCAATGACCTTACACACATGAAAACCGCATCTATGCAGACATACACCATAGCTCAGTGGGGAAAGAAAACAAAACTAACAAAATCCCCAGAATAAATGGTTACCCCACCTCACACCCTACCAAAAAGTAAATTCCAGGGGATTTTAAAACATAAAATCCAAAATTTTTAAATGCACTGAAGAAACTATAGGAATGGGAAAATGTCTTCAATCTTGGAACAGGATTTCTGAAACAAGATGCAACAGGTTGTAAAGAAAAAGATGGACAAATCTGACTACATTAAAATCAATAATTTCTATTTATCAGAGACCACAAAGAAAGTAAGAAAATTAATTACTAACTGGAGTGAGATGATTTGCTGTCCATTAATGACAAAATAAAGAATTATATGATATATAAAGAACTCCTAAAAATTAAACAGAAGAAAACAAAGCTTCCTATAGAAAAATAGTCCCAAAACCATAAGTAGGCTTATTATGGAAAAGGAAATTCGAGAGTCCAATGATCATCCGAAACTTGCCCCTTTTCTAGTAATTAAAGAGATAAAATTAAAGTCATAATGAACCAATCCAATGGCAAAAAAATCTTAAGGACTGTCAGCATTAAGTGTTGGCAAGGATGTGGGACAGGGAGGAGGACGATGCAGGGCAGGTGGGGGTATGAATTGGTCCAACTTCCTATAAAAAAATCATCTAATGGAATTTCAACTTGCAACCTGTGTGACCCAATGACTCCACTTCTAGGCGTACAAAAGAGGAAACTCTTGTCCAAATGCCCCATAAAAATGTTCACGAAGGCACTGCAATTGTAAAAATCAGAAATAACCCAAATAGTCATACTTTAATTAAATTGTATGTTCACATAATACACTGATACAAGAGTAAACATGAATTAAATACTACAGGCATCGACATGGACAGATCTTAGAAAGACTGAGGGGAAAAGCACGTCAGAGAGTAAAACATGTGCGGTATTTTTGTCACCATGTCGTACTACTTAAACCCAAGTGACTACATTAAGGATTCTTAGGTATGTGGTACACTCAGGATAGGAATCACCTGATGAATACATGAGAAATTGAAATATTTTCAAGATTGTTTTTAGATCTAAGAGTAAGGGTGTCTGCACTAATTCAGGTCTTGCATGTCCCTCTCAGAAATGTGAGGTGGAGGGAAGGACGGGTGCTGGGGTGACGTGGGAGTCTCTAAATATGGGCTGCCAGCAGTTTCTTGCCTCCCTGACATGAGGCCCTCCCCGCCTCTAGAGGTGGCCCACTTCCCCTTCTTTGCAGTCTGGGCTGGTTTTGCGAATTTGCTCAATGTAATGCAAAGCCCATCTGGGACTTCTGAGTCCAGCCTTAAGGGACTGGAAGCTTCTGCTTCCTCTCTCAGAGCTCAGCTGATCGACTGCTCCATAAGCTGGCTGGTGGGTTTCCAGATCCACCTAGTCACCACGCTTCACAACTTATAAATACTTCACAACATCACCACCACTTACAGTATTTTGTGTACAATAGATGCATCACAATATAAAGTGTTAAAAACAAAAACGCCAACCCTAACTTGAGGTGTAAAAATTTTATGTCCCTAGCTTTGATTTGCATTTTCTTTAAAACTATAATCAAACATCTTTTTGTGTGCAAGCTTTGATCCACTTCTATTTCTCATTCCACGAACTGCCTGTTCATATTCTCTGCCCCTTTATCTACTGGGTTGTTCAAGTTTCATGATTTATACAAATAAAAACTTGGCATGTTATGGAAAATAGCCCTTGATACATCCCGTGTTGAAAGTCACCTTTTCCAGTGTGCTACTTACAAACTCCTGGCCTTGTGGTATATTTGGCTATGTATACATTTCAACTTTTCCCCTTTATAAATTCCAACTTGGTGGGTATCATGCTTAGAAAAATCTTTTTGCCTCCAAGGTTATTTTCAATCATCTCTTCAGGCAATTTTATGGTTTCACTTCATAATGAAAACTTCGATTCATCCAGATTTTATTTTGTACAGAGAAGTAGGATCCAGGTTAATTTTGCAAAATGACTAGCCATTAAAAATAACCCACATGAGTCCTTGCTAACTCGAAATGCCACTCTAATGGGGAATGAAATTCCTCTGTAATTCAAGTCAATTTCTGCCCCCACCCCACCTTGTCCTGCTGACCTCTCCCTTTGCTACACTAAACTCTTTAATTCTTGTGGTTTACGATGATGAATATCTCAGGGGCAGTTCTTGACCTTGCTCTGGATTTAATTAGCTATTCTCCATGTTTACTCTCCCCAAAGTACTGATCGTGTCAAGTTAAAAAACAAATCAGGTTGGCATTTTAAGGTAAGCAAACTACATTTCTGCCAGAGCCTTTGTGCCCAAGTACAGAGTACAGCAACACTGACTTTGAGTTTCTTATGACCCTTGAAGGACAGCCAGACTGTAAACAGCACCGTGGCTGCAGGTGCCCTCCCACCCTTGTCCCAGGGCAGCACGCAGGTCTCACCTCCAGGATCCACTTAACCAAGACTCTGGCCGGCTCACTCACTGCTCCTCCTCTGGAGAAAGTGACCCCATGATTACCACGCCAAACCTCAGATCAGAGCCACCAAGAACAGTTACCAATTGTCCAGACACTGTGGAGAACAGGACACCGTCCTTGTGCTTAAGGACATGCGATGATGATGTCACCTGCCACGCAGAATACAACAGGGTGGTTTACAGCACTTAAAAGCAGCCTGACCTTGGCCGAGATGCAGAAGCTCTCAGCTCACCCTCCACCCTGCTCACCTGCAAGACGAGCTCCCAGGTCCCAAACGTCGGTCCAGAGGATCAAGAGAGACAATGGAGGGGAGATCCTGTGCTCCCTGGCTGAACCAGGGAGCATGCCCACCTCTTTAGGGGCCAGATGCCAGGCCTGCCAGCTTGACCCTGCCTGCTGTGCCACCAATGCCACACAGGACGGCCCCGGAGAGTTTCCCAGCCCATGGCGCCCCACCATCACGCAGAGATCAGTCAGAAGTAAAAGATTTTTATTTTCTACAGACACTTCTGAAAAGAGATCTAATAGAGAAAATATACAAAGCATTTAAGAGTTTCATCTCCAGAGCACCTGAGTCTGACTGAGGCGCCGAAGCCTCTCCAAGGCTCAGGGCTGGGGACGGTAGCATATAGAACGTCAGTAAAAACATGCAAAAGTGAGAAGGATAAGGAACACACTGCATGCCCTCCAGCAGAGGGGTGGATTCGGAACACGGGGCAGGGTGCACAAGTACCAGGTGGCTCTCCCTCCCCCTCATCTCTACAAGGCTGGGCTTGGAGAAAGCAAGAGTTCCCCCCACTCCCGGAGCCGGCAGCTCACGGACAAGGGACCCCCTGCGCTATACCCCGCTGTTCCGGCCTGGCCGTGGGACCGGCTTGTGCTCCCAGGTGCCAGGCTGGGGGCCCTGGCTCCTCACTTCTTTGGTTCCACTCAGAGAACAGTTGTGCTTGACAGACTCATCCCACCCCCACGCTCCAGGCTCCTGCTGGTGGGCAAAGGCACTGACAGGAGTCCTGGGGAGTCCCCAGGACAGCCACCTTCCCTTGTGCTCTGGTGGGGTCCGTCCCTGGGCACATGCCCCCTCCTCAGCCTACACCCCAGCGCTGGGAATCAGCAGAGGAAGTTGTGCCCTGGGAAAAAGCCTTTGAGGACTTTCCCAACTGGGCCGGTGTTTCAGAACCTCAAGTTCCGCCCTGCCCGGCCCCTCCCTCAGGTCCTTCCCCTTGGCCCAGCCACTGGGGACCCAACTTCAAGACGATGGGTCACAGAAACCATCTTGGGTGTCCCCTCCTCCCCCACCCCTGGGAGGTCAGCAGAGGCGGGGGCCTCGAGAGGTCACGGCCCTGGTACCGGTGACCGGCAGGGCTGGAAAGGAAGGGTGGACATGTCACATCTATGGAAATGTGTCCAAAGAACAAGCTAAGCAAGGGAGAGAGAGAAGGGCCAGAGAGTGGCTGGAAGGAGAAAGAAGAGGGCAGGGGCAGGCCTGGAGGAGGAGGGCCTCACACCACCCCGCAGATGAGGGTCTCCACCACGAAGGTGTTCTCGAAGTGGCGGATGGCGTGGCAGTTCTTGGCCCCGCGCTTGTTGATCCCTGGGAGGAAACAGAAATCCCAGTGAGGTCTGTGTCCCTAACCAGAAAGGACCTCAGGACCCAAGGTGGCGGGGGCAGGGAAGGCCTAGGAAGTGACACCCAGATTCACACCAAGTTGCACAGTGGTCTGAACCCAGAGGCTGGAGCAGCCTGCCCACACCTGCCACTTCCTCCCTGTGGGACCTCGGGAGTGTCACTTCACCTGTCCATGCCTCCGTTTCCTCATCATTAAGATGACACTGGTGACATATACAGCAGTGCATGGCATGTTAAGTGCTCAGTGAACCTGAGCTGCTGTCCTGCTGCTGTCTGAGCTCTTGGACAGCTGGGGTTTGGGGCCAGGGACAGGGACCAGCCACTCACTCCTCCGGGTAGCCCGGCGCCGCAGCCGGTATGTGTCCTTCCCGCTGCACAGGTGGTAGATGAAGGAGCCCAGGGCCTCCTTGTCACTGACGTGCTCGGTCACCACCATCTCCTCCTGCATGATGTACGTCTGCGGGAGGTAGGTCCCTCTCTGCCAAGGGAGAGGTCACAGCACAGGGTCAGGACCAGGGGCTCCCTCCCATGATTTCTGCTTGTCCACCTCCATTGTGGCTCACATGTGCCCCCTGCTCCCACACCCGAGGTGCCCAGCTCTCACCCAGAGGCCCCTTGCTGGCCTTTCTGATGTCCCCAGGCCAGGGTCTGTGCCTATACTGTCGAGACCTCTGGCAGGTGTGTGGTCTGGTCTCCCGCCCCAGGGGAAGTGCTCCTCATAAACTGGAATGCGAAGGTCTTGGGGTTCTCAATGAGTGCAGAGAGAGGAAAAGCACAAAAGTGACTCTGGGGATATGGACCAAGGGGCGACGGACGCATGACCCATCTGGGGTGCAAGAGCAATGTCCCTGGGTCCCCAGGCCTGGTCTCCACAGGGGAGGAGGGCAAGGAAGGACACGACGCTGCTCACCTTCACATTCATGAGGAGCTCCCAGAAGTTGCGAGGGGGCAGCACGATGGTGGTGTTCAGCTCGATGACGTAGCACTTGTCCAGGGAGATGTCGTGGTAGGCGGTGAGGCCCTGCGCAAGAGGAGGTGCCAGTCTGACCCGAATCCCAGATTCCCAGACTCCTGGATCTTCCCAGCCTGTGCCACTTGCTAGCTGGGTGCCTGCTGGCCCAGCGCCTTGGTTACTGCACAGACTCTGACCGTGGGCTTGCAGAGCTGAGCCAGGTTTGAGACACATGATTATCTCCCAACTGTGCATTTCCTCAAACCTGTGCGGTCACACCATCCTTGGGGACAGTCTGGACCTCAGGGAGAGCTGCTCTGTCCCAGGTCCCCTGTGGGACTCTGCTGCAGGCCACCAGGGCACAGCAGGGTTGGTGCTGAAACCCCTGCAAGGCTTTGGGAAGCAAGCACCTGGGCAAGAGGGCTGGGCCTGTGCTTCACTGGCTCCCAAACAGTCGCAGACGGGAAGGTTACTTCCAGGGGGAGGGGACTGGCTGGGAAGGGCATCGGGGGCTCCCACAGTGCTGGCAATGTGCCACAGCTTGATGTGGGTCAAATGCACACCTCTGCAGAAACACACTCAGTGTTTTGGCAATGGGATGCCCTCCCCCTTGACCAAATGTGGGCAGACACAAAGACCCTGGACTGGCCTTGACAAGCAGCAACTATGAAAAATCCCCCCACTGCTCATCCACACTCAGGGATAATGGCATTACCTATACAATGAAAGCAACGTCTTTAAAAGTCTGGTGTTCAAATGTAGACATCCACTACAGTTTACAAACGCCCCAAGGATTCTCTCTTTGGCTCCCGCTCCTTGCTCCAGGTGCCCAGGATGCCCTCCCACCACCCCAGTCCCGGTTCCTGGCCAGTTGCTGGCTGACCACAAGCTGGTCTTACCCGTTGGAAGTCGTGGATGATGTCTGCAGGGTCCCCACCACCAAACTGGGGCACGGGAACATTGATGCGCTCGTAGTTCTCTTCGAGGTAGATTTTCACATCCTCCTCCAGCTCCATCCGAGTCCGGACCTGGGAGGACAGCGAGTCCTCGTAGAGCACGCCACAGTGGAAGAAGTTGTCTCGGGCCAGCTGAGCAGGGTGGGGGAGAGACAGACCGTCACACAGCGCTCCGGACACGGCCACGGCCGCTTACCTGTGCACCTCACGTCCCAAAGGCCTGGGGAAGCAGGATGGTGGGGCCTGCAAGGTCATTTCACAGACAGGGAAACAGAGAGTGGAGTCAGGCTGGAGCCTGGAGGAGGCCCTTCATAGCTTCACAAATGGAGGAGAGACTGAGCAGGGGCGCGAGGTCCTAGGAGGAAGACCACTCCAAGCTCCCCATCTGCAAAGTGTGCTAATCCCGAAGGTCCCCTCTGATCTCAAAGGCCATGATTCTGTGAAATGGACTAGCAGAAAGAGCACCCACCAGCCCCTTCACAGAGGAGACACCAGAGAAAAGCTGGGTGGGGCAGGAGGGTCTGCAGGGGAGACAGGAGAGCTGGACAGGCTTGGGAGCCACCTTGGTGACATTAGGAGGGCGGTGAGGAGCTTCGAGGCAGCACAGGGAGATTCTCCACCATGCCCAACTCAGACAAGTCCCAGCACCGGTCCTGGTCCCCGAGGAGCCTGAAACACCATGCCGGCTGCCCCCCCGCAGGTGGACTGGACCAATGGCCCCATGAACAAGGGAAGTGAGGCAGTGTGAGTGGTGTCAGTGGAGCGATGGGTGACCAGTGCCCCTGACTTCTCCAGGGCTTGGGGATCTCCAAGGGACTGCCCGACCCATAACTGTCAGAATCCCTTGCTAATCAGTGCTCTAAGGAGGCTGAATCACCAGCAGCCCAGGGAGGCAAGGTGACAGGCCCCACGTGGCTGCCAGGCCTGGGCTGGATGCCTCACGTGCTATCCCAGGGGCTGCTCTGAGACGTTGGCATTGCCTGGGAACCTGAGTGGGGTGAGGAACCCCAGAAGGGCCTGCGTGGGGACAGGTGGAGCCCGAGCAGGTCCTGGGTTTGGGCCACAACAAGAAGGGGACCAGAGAGGCCCTGCAAGGAGAGGGGCACCTGCCTCAAGTGGGCAGCAGGACAGGTGGACGATGGGAAGGCCGGACATCCAGGCCACCGACAGGCTTGGGAAGCCGCACCTTCAAGCACAGGCCTGGAAGGTGTGCGGACCGTGGGAGTTGAGGCCTCCGGGGGGGAAACCAGGGAACACAAACCCTTCAGTAATGCTCACGGTGGAAAACTGGGTGACAACAAAGTTACACACTTAGGGGTGGGAGGGGACAAATGACTGGCAAGCCCCAGGCTTGGGTCACCTCGAGACTCCCCATTAGGTGCAGCTGTGTCTACCCTGTTATTCTATTTTTAATTTACCTTATCTTCAGTGCTGAGATGGGGTGACCTCCCTCCCTCCCTCCCCACCCAGACCAGGTAGCTCAGCCTGGAGCTCAGATCCCCAGGGGGTGAAACCACACTGGGGGGGGGGGTGAGGCTGTAGGCAAAGCGAGCTCCTCTGAGTCGCCCTCCTGTTCCTTCAAGGAGGCCGCAGTGAATCTGTGCCCACCTCCACCTCTCCTGACCCATAAGCCCCATGTGCACGCAGGGCCTGGAAGGATTCACCCTTCCAGCACCACCTTGGAGAGGCCCTGCCAGGAGCCTCAGGGGCTGCGATGGGAGATTATAGCTCCAATTGTTGCTCAAGTTTCTGGTAACAATGCCTCAGGGTGACACGGAGAAGGGACCCCAGTGCTCCACCTGGATCAGAGCTTGGTTCCCCAGGGAAAGAGGCCGAGATGGGGGCTGGCCTGGGCCTGCCTGGGCACTGGCTCCCACCTGACCATCCATCCACTACTCCCACGCCTGCTGCGACCCTCCCTCCACTCCTGCCCCCAGGCCGCCCTTCTCCCAGGACAAGCCCTGGCCTGCTGCCCCTCACCTGAGCAAGGAAGAAGTATCTGTAGATGTAGACAGAGGCGAAGACGAGGCCCATGAGCAGCACGACCGTGCCCATGGACAGGTAGCACACGCCCAACGAGCCCCCCTTCTTGGAGCGGTGGTAGGGGGGTCGCTCCTCCTGTGGACAACAGTGGGGGTCAGCCAGGCGCTTCAGAGGATACCCGCTTTCCCCGAGTGCCATGGCCCCTCTGGCTAGGCCGAGAGTACCTTGGAGGAAGGCACAGGACAGCACATGTCAAGTGAGGGACAGAGCCTGGCCAGGGTGTCGCAGCAGAGGGAGACGGAGACCCACCTGGAAGCCACCTGAAATGATCGGCTGGGGGACAGGCAGACACATTTTGAGCTACCTGTGCTCTTAGCCCTCTCATTACACCAGCTTGACACGTCTAGTCTTTCAATCACAAAATGGGGGACGTGCCCACGTGGGCTTGGTGACAGGGCTAGACCAGGGAGTCAGTAGGAATCGGTTGCTTCTGGCAGCCTGGGAGATGCTGCCCTGGGCAGTGGGGAGCTGGGAAGGGCACTGCGCCGAGGAGTGGCGAGACCAGTCCTAAAGTTGGAGTGCACAGGACAGACTGGGAGGAGGGCAGGGAGGTGGGAGACGGGATGGAGGCTGCTGGGCTCTACAGACGTGTTCACTGCCTGTTGGGACAGGGGCTCCGGGAGGCGGAGTGTCTGGGCATGGAGCTGGTCCTTGGCCAGGCAGCCCTGGGCCTGCAATCCACTACGCCCAGCCCTCCTCTAGGGCTCAGCAGGGGAAGGCTGTGAGTAGTGCAGTCTACAGGGTGACGTTTGGAAGCATCTAGAAGTAAGGGGAACTCCCACCAGGAGGGACACGTGGCTGTCAGGAGGCCTGCCCAGGAGGCTCCAGGAAATAACTCGCTCTGTGAGCCAGACCTGGGCTCAGGATCAGAGGTGCAGGGCTGCCGAGGCACCATCGGGACCCAATTCCAGGCCTCAGGAGTCTGGGGTGGGGTGAGTGTGAAACTCCACACTGCGTTGTGTGGGGCACTGGACGGAGAGTGACCAGGGTCACTGGTCATCTTTCTGTTTGTCTCCCATTGCCCTGGTCCCTATGGCCTCACCCAGGTTGGCCCTCAGTCACCCTTGGAAATGCTGCAAAACCCTGGGCCTGATTCCAGCGTCCAGCACTCCACCTTTCCTTCTGTGTCCAGGTATGGCTGAGGGTGAGGTCAGAGGCCAGTCCCTACAGATACCCTCAAACCTCAAGAAGCTGAGGCAGAATGGTGGACCGGGAGGGCTCAAGTCCAGGAGCCTAGATCCCCTTATTCTGGCTGCTTGCCTAGACCACCTGCACAATGAGCAGGTGAGACCCACCTCTCAGGTCCTTTCTTGCCAGACTCTGGGAATGTGTGCATGTCCTTTCTCCTGTTACTCTGGGGGAGGGTTTGGGAGGTGGGGACGTGGTTTGTGTTTAAGTTACTCAAGATGGGTCCTCATCTCAGCACCTCACAGAGGTTCTGGACTAGTGGGGTACAGGTGGGTTGAGGGGCTTGGGCTTCAGGGAGCTGGGGTGAGCCCTACAGAGGGCCTCATCCTTCCCTGCAGAGTACTCTTCCCTGCCCCAGGCCCCAGGAAAAGAACAGAAATCACCTGGAAGACTCTCCATACTAGACTATCCATCAGCAGGCCAGTTGGCCCCCAGTTTCCATGCTATGGGATGGGACCCCAGCCCATTCTGCATCCCACACCTAGTTCTGCACTGCAGAGAGCTAGCCTGGGACAGCTGTGAGGTGGACTTTCCAACAGGCTCTCCTGGTCAACACCAGTAGCCTAGGTCCACCAGCATCTCACAGGAACAAGCCACGAATGTCCTACTCTCCCCGGGTCATCAGGTAAAGAGGTGAATGTCCACTGTCCCCCTGCAAACAAGCAGCCAGGGGAAGTGGCAGCCATTCTGCTTTTCTAGTGGTCACCACTGGTCAAGGAAAGGTGGCTGACCCAGGGCCAGGCCAGGCCACCTGCACCTGCTGTGAATCCTGCATTCCAAGGCCCTGGTTGTTTTAGGGGTTCATGTGGCATAAGGGGGCCCCGTCACAGGGCAGAGCAGCCCTACTCTCCCCGGGTCATCAGGTAAAGTGTGGACAGGCTTCCGGACAGGGGTTTTACTGGGATTAAGAGACAAAGAACCTGAGAGCCCTTGGTGGAGCAGAGCGCCAGATAAAAATAGCAGATCTCTGCCGAGTGTTTCCTTTTCAGGGCTTCACTGCAGACGGCAGCAGAGGCTGCACAGTGCCTGGGCTTTTGTTCTTTCTTTCTCGAAAACTAGAGAAGTTAGCTTGGGAAAACTGAAAAAAAAAGAAAAAAGAAAAGGGGAGACCCTCAATGGGCTTCAAGCAAGAGCCTGGGGACCTGCTCCACCGGGGACAAGCGGAGGCCTGCAGGCCTCACCGCACCTGACATCTCTATGTAGGAGGCCAACTTGAGTGGCCCCTGCTGAACAGGTCCCGGCGGGCAAGGTCCAGCCAGGACCCTCACTGATTATGGGGATCCCCTACCTTACCTGGATGCTGCGGGTGAACCCCTAAGTTACCCCTCTCCTAGCCAGGGGCAGTAAGGGAAATCAAAACACCCCACCCCAGACACATTTCTTTGGCCTCTTTCCAGCTGGTGACTCAGACCCTTCCGTAACTTCCCTGGCTACTCCGCCAGCGGCCTCAGGACTCAATTTAGCGTCGCTAGCTCACGGTACTCTTTGGGCTTCTGGCCCTGGGTTTGAGTCTATGCCTCCCATGCCTATAATAAATTTTGTTTGTTTTTCCTGTTACTCTGTCTACTGGCCCTTCATCTCATAGGCTAAAAACGATCAAACGCTTCAGAGGGAAAAAGAGAAAACTTGAAATTCCCTTACATGAACAAATGGCTCTTTTGATCCCTGCAAGGGACACCTTCAAGCACCACCTGGGTCTCAGCCACCCCTTGACCACCTGACACCCTCCCGCCCTCAGAAGCCTCAGGACTGAGCCCTGTTGCTGGAAGTGAAGTGGGGACCACAGAGCTCAGGACACCCCTGCTGGGGAACTAAAGGCTCAGCATTGGCCCTGCCAGCAGGATCCCAAGCTACACAATCAAGGTCAAGGCTCAAATTCCAGAGCCCTGGAACCCTCCCAGTCTCCCTAGGCCCTCACTGGAGGCCATGATCTTTGGGTTATCAGACCCTGTCTGAGGATGGTGTGGCAGCAGTGGTCTGGCCAGCGTCCAGCCTTCCCGGGAACCCCTCAGCTCCTCCACCTGTCATGCCAGTGGCCCAGAGAAATGCTGCTCCCCACGCGGAGCAGTAACTGACAGCGAGGCACGAGGCACGGGGGCTTCCATTTAGAAAGCAGGAGAACATCGCTACTGTCTCCAAGGCAACACGCTCTCCCAGCAGGCGAGCCAGACATCCAGGGACTTGTGAGGAGCTCGGGCCACAGCCTGAGGCTTCATGGATCACAACGGTGCTGTTCAGGCAAGCCAGAGGCGAAGAGGACAGGGAACTACCAAATGAAGCAGCAACGCAGACCCCATGGCTGGTGGGGAGAGCTCTGCAGCTGTTCCTCCTCCACAGTGTCCAAATTAGCCCTGAGCAGATGAAACTTTCCGCAGCCTACCTGGGGAGGCTGGAAAGGACAGCCTGTCTGCACGGGTCAGTGGCGGGGTCCGGCTCCACTCGCACTCTCTTCCCCCACCCTTCCCATCCTTAGCATCTTTCCCTTCCCAGGCTGCAGGCTAGAGGTGAGGGTGCCAATGGCAGATGAGACAGCTAGCCATGGGTGGCAGGAGAGGTGAATGTCCACTGTCCTCCCCGAGCACACAGAGCCCTGAGTACACGCCACGCGCTGACAGGGTTCAAGGATTCCCGGAGAGTGGAATCCCACCCCTGTTCTACTCTCCAGTCTGAGGACCCTGTGGGAAGTGCCTGGCGGCAGGGCTTGGCTGGGGGCAGGAACGCTCTCTCCCACTCCACCCCTGACAGTGAAGGCGGCAGAGAACAAGAGCTAAGGAAGGATGCAAGCTAAGCAAAGCTCCAGGCTGGAAGGGCTGGGGGTGGGGGTGGGGGGTGGACGGCTGCTGCAGCGATGTTATCACAAACACCTTTGTCACTAGGAGAAACCCTCGGTGGCAGTGTGAGGACAGTCTTGAACCATCCAAAGACTGGCAAAGGAAACAGAAAAGAGGGACCCGGGGAGGGCAGCAGAAACGCCAGGGCAGTGGTGCCTGCCCAAAAGCCAAAGCCCCCTGGGCAGGCTAGGAAGGGGCATAGTCCCTGAAGTCCTCATTCTGCCGTGGAAAAGGATGTGGGGCTGGGCAGCCCTTTCTTGAAGGTCCTTTTGGCCCAGCCCTCCCAGCCAGCGGGCATGGGGGCCTAGGGCAGGATTCCAAGCTGGCCAGCCCTGCCCTCCTGGCTGGCAGGGGACCCTCCCCCTCTGCTCTGCTTGCCAAGGGCCAGAGGCCCTGATGCTCACAGAAAGTGAAATCTGATCCGCAGGTATGCGGGCTGGGGGATGGGGCACACAGGGGCCATTAATCAAAGGCAAATGTCAAGGAGAAAATTAACAGGCTGAGATGACTGTGTTTAACACGTCCCCCAGCAGCCCCCAGCCTGGAGCCTGTGCACGTCCACACCCACACGAGGAGTGTGGAAAGAGGGAAGCCGCTGAGGGGGCAGGCCCACTAGCAGGCAGCAGTGGCGGGTATGGGGTGGGACTGGGGTGGGGTACTCCCCTCTGTCCAGCCACGGGTGAAGCTGGCTCCCCACCAGCGGCCCACGGCACAGGTTCCTCATTATCTCAGTCTAAACACCACGTGGAGAGGCTAGCAGCAGAGGCCCAGCTGGCCCCACCCCGCCCCTTCCCCAGCCCACCAAGGGACTTCCTTCCCCCATCAGGTCTGGAGACAGAGCCTCCGGTTTCAGTTTGTTCAGAGACAGGGGCAGTCTCTCCTGAGAGAGTGCTGCGTCCCCTTCCCTTTAGGACACAGGTTGCCTACCGCCCCCAAACCCTGGGCTGCTCATCTGTTGAGAGTGTCCCTCTCAGGGCCGAGGAAACCTTGGTTTTGAGAACAGTTCAGACACCACAGAGGGCTGGAGGAGGGGGTGGTCACAACCAGTCGGAAGAGACCTTCTGATATGAGCGTCAAATCCAAATGTCCTGTCTTGAAAAAGCAGCCCTGGGGGCCTCCAAGACTGCTGGGGTCTCAGAACCCCAAAAAGGCTGATATTCTGTCTTAACTGACAGCTGCTACATGAGTCTCCTGCCCGCTCTCATGGCTGGGGTGGGGGAGGCCGGGCTCTGCCAGGCACGGGCAAGGGGGGAGTGTGCCCTGCTAGAGCTAGGTGGGGCAAGAAGATGCCTGCAGCAGTGAATCCTTCCAAGGCTCCAGGTCCAGCAGTGAAGGCCAGAGCCAGCATGCACCAACCAAAGCCCCTTGTACCGGCTCAGGGCCTCAGCAAGCAGGCAAGTTCCCTAATACCCAGTTTCTGTCCTAAAGGTGCTGGGTTTCCATTCCTCCTTCTGACTGCCCTGGCCTTCCAAGCTCCCGATTGCCAATTAGAGGGAGGGGAGGCCACTCAGCAGGCTGCAGGCCATCACTAACAGCAAGCAGGAGATTGTTGATATTTCCATTTCATGCTGAGAGAGGGCAAGAGGCTGTCAGCTTCAGAGCCCAATAAAAGCCAGAAGCTGGATGTCCATTACTGCTCAGGCCATGCTGGCAAGGGAGGTCAAAACAGCCCACCACCAAATAGGCTTCTTTTGCAAATTGCTGAGAGGGCTCTTCAGCAGGAGTGCAGATATGGGACTAGCTCTTTAAAACTGTCCTTTTGTGGGGACAGATTTGCATCTCTAGAGAAAGTAAGTCAAATACATAGTGGATGCATCTTCAAGTGCCCCTGCCCCCCCCCCTTGGAAAGAGCTTTTCACAGGATTAAGTTATCTAGGCGTCTTACCCCAGACCCAGAGATGACCACAGGTGGCTTTTGGAGGGCTGTTAGCTGGGAGGCCTCACCCATGTCCGACCACCTTTGTTTGTAGTGACCTTTCTTCATCTCACCCTTCCATAGCCTGTGACACCCCAAGCTCCAGTGTCTTCCTAGACACTGCATAAACTTCAGCCCGAGGGCCTCTCCTTTGAGACTCATCCTTTGTGTTTGGCTCCCTGCTTAAATGCCAACAATTTTATGCTTTTTCCTGATAATCTGCGCATTGTCAGTTTATTTTACAGACTAAAATTATTATTCTGATACTGAGGATTGATCCCAGGGATGCTCAACCACTGAGCGACATCCCCAGCCCTTTTTAATATTTTACTTAGGGTCTTGCTGAGTTGCTTAGTGCCTCCATAAGTTGTTAAGGCTGGCTTTGAACTCAAATCCTGCCTCAGCCTCCCCAGCCACTGGGATTACAGGCGTTTGTGGCCACGGCTCCCAGCTAGACTAAAATTACTTGGCCTTCAGAAGTTAATGGGAAAATTGAAACTTGAAACTTCACCACACCGGACTCTACCATCCTGCCCAACACCAGCTTCCATGGGAGAATGTATCACTCCTACAGAATTTGGTGGATTTTGCCATGGAATTGGAGTTACAGGGATGGAGCTGGTGTTATATCCTTCCACTGCTTGGCTCGGTCCTCCCTCCTGAATTCCCAAATCCAGTGGCTCTTAGCAGCAGAGTTCCTGGTCTTGGCTGGGGGTCTGCCCCTGAGAGAAGCAGCTGGGAACAGATAAGCTGCCCCTCCCCCTGCTGAGAGGAGGGGGAGAGGCCGGCTCCCTGTGGTAAAAAGGAGGCTTGCAGAGCCCTTGGCAAACTTAAACCCGCAGACAGCAGACAACTGTCTTCAAATGGAGTGGGACACCCACTCTCCAACTAAGCTTCGGATGAAGATGGCACTGCTCCCGTTGGGGTGCCCAACCTTGCCAGGGTGGTCGCTGATTTCTTGTCGCTCTGGACCTCTAGCTGTTGCAGCGACCACCACACAAAAGTAGGGTGCCAGCCAGGTCCCTGGCATTCCTCACTGAGGGTCTCTGCTCAGGCTAACCCCACCTCAGAGGCTTCTTTCCAAGATCATCCTTTGCAGGCCCCCAAATACCAAGGGTGAGACTGAAAGAGAGCCACAGAGAACTTGGAGAAGAGAAGGGAGTAGACTGGGACCTCCGTCCTTAGATGGCGGAGCCGGGGCTTGGTGCGCCCCAAGATCGCTGATGCCAGAGGCCACGAAGATACCTTTGCAGGGTCACAATGAAGCCAGACTGGGCCAGCTCCCCCTCTTCCCCTCCCTTCCCGCCACACGTCCTGCCCTCTGGGCCCTTCCCCGGACACACTCCACGCAGCTCAGACCGTTTTCCACGGCGGAAATGCCTTCCTCCCCCTAGGCCAGCGGGAAGGCGGGACGCACCGAGGCCCGCCCCCACAAAGCCGGCCGGAGACCCGGGGATGCCGAGGGCACTGGGGCAGTGGGGGAGCCCTCCCGCCGCGGCGGGGTTGGGGGCAGCCCAGCAGGAGGGCGGAGAGGGGACAGCGAGACCCGGACCCCAAGGACCGGGTGGAACGAGGACGCTGCGCTCGGACTCGGTATCCTCGGAGGCGCGGCGGGGTCGGCTCTGGTTTATTTCCATTTCATCACCTTCTGGTCCGCCAGTTCCAGTGCGGACCAGCGGCACACTCTCCATCCCCAGCAGGCCCTCATTTTGGGACGAAATCCATGGCCCCTCCTCCGGCGTTGGCACCAGACTCTCCCCCTCCACCGATTTCCCAACCAATCGGGTCCCACCGCCCTACTTGGGGGAAACTAGGTCCAGCCCCCTCCCATCCCCCACCTGGGGACTTGATTCGCGGCCCCTCCCCTTTGATTGGAAACAGACGCCAAGCCCCCACCAACATTCCCCGAACTTTCAAGGACCAGACCCCTTCCCCTATTTTGGAGCAAGGCCCAAGGGTCCCCTCCGCTTTGGAAGAGACCTTGAGCGCTTCCTCACTTAAGGTCCACCGCTTCTGCTTTCTGCTGTCACTTTAGTGCAAGACCCAAGCCCCTTGCCCAATCTGGGATGGAGACCCCATTCCCGCTCGGCTCGCAGCTCCCGAGTCCCGACGCGCCTCGGGCAGTCTCGGGGGCCAGCAGGACGCGTCCGGATTCCCACGCCCTCGCCGGAGCCCCCGGCCCCTCTCACCCTAGCCGGCGTCAGCAGGATCTCAGCGGCCGGAGCCGGCGCCGGCGCCGGGCCCGGGGCCGGGGCCGACGCCGATGCCGAAGCCTTATCCGCCTTGTCGCCCTTGACGCCGGCCACGGCGGGCTGGAAGCTGATCTTCACCATGGCTGCGCCGGCCCGCGCGTCCGCCCGCAGCCTCCGCCTGTGCAGCCTCTCTCTGTGCCACCGCCGCTCGGTGCGCTGCAGGCACCGGAAGT